TTTTTTTTGGTACCGGGGATCAAACTCAGGACCTTGCGCTTGCAAGTCAGGCAGCGGAACCACTGAGCTAAATCCCTGGCCCCCATGTGTTTTTTAGCCTAGCCTGGGCAATTAGTGACTTATTCAAGACTCTGCTCAAAATTAAAAAAAAAAAAAAAAGAAAAGAAAAATAATTGGTTCATGGAGCTCAGTGTGAAAGCCCTGAGTAAAATCCCTAGTACCAGAAAAAAAAAAAAAGTGAAGAAAATTTGCATGCAAGTGTGGCCTTGGAAGGGTGAGTGTAGTATAAGCTGCATTCTTGGGTTGGGTGTGTAAGTCTTGGTGTGGATGTAGACTTTCTTTATGTACTGAGGAATGGAATAAATAGCTGGGACATAGTTTTTAACTTTTTAAAACACCACCAAACTGTTTTCCAAAGTAAATGTATAATTTTCCATTTTTATCAACAACTTAAAAGAATTCCAATTGCCCCCATCCTTGCCAACACTTGGCATAATCAATCTTTTTAATTTTAGCCTCCTAATGGATAAGTAGTGATATCATTGTGGTTTAAATTTGCATTTTCCTAAAGACTAATGATGTTGAACATCTTTTCATGGACTTATCTTCCACCCATATATCTTCTGGGTAAAATGTCTATTGTGAGACTATCTTAATAACTATTGTTTGTATTTTTAATGGAGTATCACTCATTTTTAAAAAAGCATTGCAATATGTTTAGGAAATACAGTTTTACATGTCTACAAACATCTACTATGGATGCTTGATATGAAAATTACAGATCCTCCTTGACTTATGATGGAGTTATGTATGATAAATCCATTGTGAGTTGAAAATGGAGTTAAGTTGAAAATGAATTTAATACACATAATGTACCACATATCATAGCTTAGCCCAGCCTACCTTAAAAATTCTTAACGCCCTTACGTTAGCTTACATGTGGGCAAAATCATCTACAACAAAGCATTTTATAGCAAAGCATTGCATATTTCATGGGCTGACTGGTAGTTGTGGTTTACTGCCACTGCCCAGCAAGGAGAGAGTATTATGCCAGATATCACTAGCCCAGGAATAGACCAAAATTTAAAATTTGAAATAAAGTTTTTATTCAATATGTAGTGCTTTTGTACCATTATAAAGTTAAAAAATTGTACATTGAATAGTTGGGGACCATCCGTATAAAGTTTGGAATCTTTTGACCACTCTGAATACTTAATGCATTTCGTATTTTTATTAAAAATTATTTAAAACTTATTTATTTGTAGTATTCCTGGTTTCCTGTTTCTGAGAATTGGCAGTTGGCATACAACAGGATATGATTTGCTTTTTGTACAGTACATATGTAAAAAGGATCCAAATGAATATAATTCATCATAGAATATTGATCACCCATCTATTACAGTAAATATTATCAAATAAAGCACTACATTAATTTTCTAAAATGGAATCTGATATCTTAAGAGGTTTCATTGTATCCCTATGAAATAGTTACAAAACTATTCTGAGCATCTGATAAATAATAGCAATTTTCAAATATACTTACATAGCTACTTTGTTTTCTGTTTTGTTTTTGTTTTTTAAAATTGATCTGCCTGACCAGTAAGAGATTTCATCCAAAATAGGTAAGAAGATATCCCTGTCTAGACTAGGTAGCTCAGCTAATAAACTGAACTATTAGACTGTTGGTCTTTCTGAAGAATATAGAAAGGTGTGCATAGCTAGTCTGTTTGTATATGTTCTTTATTTCATTTATGCAAAATCAGGAATGTGAGCCATCATACAAAGAGACTCAGCAACACTGGTCCTGAGGAAATGTAGGGTAAATCTCAAGAAGCCCTTTGGGTTGTTGGGCATTGGCCATCCTTTACAGCTGGTCACTGTTGGCAGAAACAGGAGCACATGTGATGTATGGGAAAGCTGTACAGGCCATTTGGTGGTACTTATCAAAAGAGAAAATGCAGGGCTGGGGATTTAGCTCAGTGGCTCAAGGACCCGAGTTCAATCGCCGGTACAAAAAAAAAAAAA